GCATTCCTACCAGCTCTTCCTAAAGATCATGGACAGCTCCCTGTGCTAGGAGAAAGGAAACAACTGTTCTAGTTCTCACTAGGGATCATTTGATGTCACTGTTCCATGGTATTCTGTGTATTTGACAGGGTTGTGATAAATCAAATAAAAAGTAAGTGATTTAAAATGTTTTACAAAGCTAGCATTGTACATATGGAATCCTTTTAGTTCTCTCCCCTTTCCTGAGGAAATAACAACACTTCACACAATGGAGTAGGGGAGGGAATGGAACTCTTCCTCATGAAATACGTAAGCAAGGGCAGATTTCTAGCCTGCTTGCTTTGGACAAGATCATGGAACACAAGGTCTTAAAACCTGGCATGAATTAAGGAGTGAGGGAAAGTTAAACTGCCACTATCGCAGTAAGAGTTCTGAAATTCCTTCTAAAGACAGTGAAGCAATAAATAAGGGAGTCCATGACAGTGTGGTAGTAGAGGGGGACTAGTAGGTAAGGGAGTGAATAGTGTGGGACCCCTTCGTATGCTCTCGCTTTCTCATGCATATAGCATACATGGCCAATCCAGTTACCACCCTCCCTTCTCTAGGAGTTGTTCCCATAGAGTCTGAAAATGGGGAGCACTGACTGAGGGTGGCAGTTACAAAGTCACAGGACTTAAAGTCTACCTGTCTGTGGACTCACCACTTCTTGGGTGCAGATTGACCCGAGTTTTTAATGGTGACCCCGTTCTTCTTCCTTCTTGCTGTTTGAACTCACCTTGAAAACTTGTCTCTGTGATGGGTTGAGCAGGCACAGAGTAGTAGATTGCAGAGGTGGAGGCCGGTGGTATCACACTTGTGGGCTGGACCTCCTTTAGTACCATGACCATTTCTGGTTGAGGGGCAGAGGCCCTGCTCTCTGTGTAAGACACAGAGCCATAGGATTGCAGGTAGGGGCCCCGTTCTGCAGGGAGCAGAGGCCCCAGTGTGCCTTGATTGTAGTAATAGAGCTGACTTCCTTCCTGGTAGGGAAGTGACCAGCTCTGTCCCTGATTTGGAATCTGAGATGATGCCCCATGAACAAGGCTGGCAGAAAGTGATGGATACAGAGGGACCATGTTAGTGGCATCTGAGGTTTTATTGTACTGGGATGCCATCGACATGGAAGAAACAGCTGTGTCCTGGTCAATGACAGTCACTGTGAAGTCTCGGATGGATGAGGACTTCTTTTCAGTGCCTCCTGTGAGCGCCCACTCAAAAATACCAGGATTGGAAGCAGCTGCAGTGGAGATCTGGCTCTGGCCAGTAACTCCAGACAACATAGTTGTGCTAGCATGTTGGTAAAGGTAGGCACTACCCATGAGAGGTTGGAAAGAGGTGCCAGAGACTGATGGTAGGAGCCATGCTGATGTGACGGCTGGAGCAGAGACTCTGGGGAGACTGCAGACTCGTCCTGTGAGGGAGGCTGCAGTGCTCCCCACAGGAAGAGAGAGCTGCAGAGACTTTGAAGTTCCAAGTAAAGGTGGATTTTGGAAATTCTCTGTGGGGAACAAAGAGGGTGGTCAAAAAATCAAAGGGCTTCACTATGTTTGAAGAATAGCATCATCTTAAGATTAATACCAATACTCACTGAGGTGTCAAAAATCAAACAGCTTATGCTGGTTGTAAGTGCTGGAACAGTTTGCTACTCTTCTGTATTAACTGCCTGTGCTCCCAATGTGGGCAAAATGTGCAGGAGAACCAAGTGGTTCATACATTCTCTATGGTAGAGGCAATCACTCTCTGCCCTATCTTTCCCTTGAGCCTCTATTAGTATTGATTTGTGTGCTCTTTCCTAGAATCGAAGCATTTTAGAACCAGGATTCTTTAGAGACCCTGAGTTCTAACATTCTCATTTTATGAGTGTGGAAACTGAAGCTCAGAGAGGCCAGATAGACTTGTTCAAGTTCTCTCATTGTGCTAGTGTTATTACCATGTTACATAACCTAAGAATCCTGACTCCCTTACTCGAGCTCTGCTCTGAGCATTACACTTCCACAAACTGGGAGCAATGGGGCTTCTAGTATAGATATGGGCTTTGTCCATGGAAAACAGTACAGCTATTGCCGCTGTAATCTTCAGTGCCTCATGCTGCCTGCAAGTTCACATGCTATTCCCTGGAACTCACATGTAGCTCAGTGCAGTTGGTAAATTTGAAGTGTCATTCTTACCCTCTTCAAGCCTGAGTTTCTTTTTTTTTTTTTTTTTTAAGAATTTTTGTGAGTTTATTTGAACCAAACTGTCGACATTAGCCGGGAAGCAGAACCTCAACGAATTGAGATAGTGCTCCTGAGTTTCTGATCCTACCTCAAAATGGCTATGGGGGAGTGAGTTTCTCAGGAAGTGCTTTTTAAAAGAAAAACATTATTGAAACTGTCCAGGTTTTGAGTTACTCATTCATAAAGTCATTATAATAATAGTAACAATAATAATTTATACATGAGTAAGTGTTATATTACACTAGAGGCCCAGTGCACAAAATTCGTGCAGTCGGGAGGCCCCTCAGCCTGGCCTGCACCCTCTTGCAGTCCAGGAGCCCTTGGGGGATGTCCATCTGATGGCTTAAGCCTTCAGTCAGCCAATCTTAGTGCTGCCGTGAAGGCGGGAGAGGCTCCCACCACTGCACTGGGCTCAGGGCTCCTGGCTGAGCAGCATTTCCCCTGTGTTGAGCGTCTGCCCCCTGGTGGTCAGTGTGGGTCATACCAAGGGTCCTTTCGCTGTTCGGTTGATTTGTATATTAGCCTTTTATTATATAGGATATGATTTATATGGAAGAAAATTTAAGTTATGGAAAGACAAAGAGAAAAATCATGAACAATATATATCACAGAACTAAAAATATATATAAACATTAATGAAAATTGGGGCACATAGCAAAAATCAAAGCATAAAAATTTGCTAATAAACGATGTTCTATTTTATACGCACGTTATAAAAGTGAATATTGCCTATGCTGTTTTAGTGAATACTATTAACCAAAGAACAGCCCACAATACAAGATGATTTTGAAAAAATTTCTAGCCATGTGGAGAGAGAAGATATATCAGTAAAAACTGCATAACAAGCCATAAATGTGGATGTATAAGTAGCCCCAATATATGTAGACAGATATTTCTGTAAAAATTGTTATAAATCAGAGCAAAAAGAATTCCATTAATGTGATTATTCATGTTTTTTCTGAATATTACCCAGCAAGTAACAGATAGTAAGTCTAGTAGAAATATATGTTTCCATTAATATAACCACATGACAAACAGAAAAAAACACTTAAAAGAGTATCCTGAAAATTTATATGTTTATCTCAAAACCTAGATTTTAATCATCTTCAACATCCAGGAAAGTCTTAAAAGCCATTTTCACTAGACTTTAATTAAATAAAAATTTACTGTAGGAATCGTCAAGAGACCCCACAAGATTGGTTTTAGATACACGTGAAGTTAGAGATGTGGGGTTTGACCTTTTCTTTTCCTTCTTGGGTAGCTAAGATCTAAGGGAGATGATGGCTGTTTCTCAGTGTGGAACATACTTATCACACAAAGGAATTAGTCTTTCTGGTTCAGGTTAGGACATATCATTTTTTAATCTTAATTTCATTTTTAAGTGACAAAAAACATCTACATAGTTTAAATATCAGAATGAAGTGAAACACTGAAAATTATGTTTTCCTCCAGCCCCCTAGATAACCTTTATTAATTTCTTGCTTACAGGAACCATAATTTCTAAAACACATGTTTTTAAACGTTGATACTCAAAACTGTCATCTGTGTGTTCAGAGAGGCAATAGAAAAACACAGGCAACTGAATATGACTTTGCTGATAAGCTGCTTTGCCTACAGATACCCTATTCCAGCCTTACTTTCCTTCCTAATATATTAATGTAAGCACTGACTAAAATCAACTTTATTTTGCCCTCCTCTGAGCAGATTTCACCCTACCTGCTCTGCTTTAATTTAAAATCCTTGGTTGCCTTCAGCATTCCATTGCAAAACTACCCTTTTTTGCTCTTGAGAGCTCTTCCATGCCCTCCTGCTTCATTCTTATAGTTTCCCCTCCTTCATGCTTATGTGCCCGCCCCCCCTTGGTTCCTGTGGGCCCGTGCTGATGAAAACAATCCTAAACTTTCTCACACTTAAATACTTGCCTCACTATAGCCTAGTACGCTTCATCTTCTCTCCCTATTTTCCCCTTTCACCTAGTTTGGATAGAAAACTCCAAAAATAGGTGAATATTACTTTTTGAACTGCACTAAACTGAAAATACTAAAGTTGAAACATTAGTGGTGAGAGACCCTTATACTAGAATATATATATATTCTCTGTGTTTCTATTGAAACACATTCCAGAAGTCTTGATTTTATTTTCTATATGGGTGTCTTTAAAACTCAATATTAGAAAAGAAAGGGAATAGAGAGAACAACCAATCTGAAATCCTAATGTAACAGATGAGGGATGAACAGATTTTGTGAGAGAGTCAATGACTTGTCCCAAGTCACATAGCTAGTAAGTATCAAAATCAAAAGTGAAATTAGGTCTCTGGATTTCTAGATCAATATTTCCTTCCTTTATGCTATTTTGAGTCTACTGCTAAATTTAGGGGCAAAAATATCTAATGAGAAACTTTTAAAAGTTTCTTTCCTTACCTGACATGGTCAGAGAAGAAGAGGAAATTTTATTAATTGTAGATGCAAGGGATGAGGATGTCTGAGTGGTTGAAGCGAAAGAGCGCTTGTTTCCAGTACGAAGGTTACTGGTCACACTGTCACTGGATACTGGTCATTGGTCAGTTGCGATGATCCAAATGTATTTACTGACAACTCCATGGAAACCCCAAGATTCTGCCAGGTGGTGGTAGGTTTGGTGGGAGAATGATGTCACAAAGCAGGCAGTTTAAAGGGATGCGAGGGCCAATAGGGCGGTCAGATCCCCAACAAGAAGCCAAGATTGGATGGAGGGAGCAGTAAGGGAGCTAAACCAACCCCTAAATGGCTGGACTCCGGGGTAGATGTGCTAATTGACAAGAGAGATGTGATAGTCTCACTTTCCCCAGGTTCGTGTGTTAGGGAAATAATCTCAGGATTTCTTAAAGACATCCATTAATATAATTAACTAGTACTTTTATTCTCTTTATTGGGTTGTATGACATATATTTATCATTATATATATATACTTAATATTCTAAGAGAGAACAGAAAGGGTTATCTAGGTTGCACCATTGCAATTGTGCAGAAATTATATCTGTCCATCTACTAGTAACTAGTGAATTTACTTCAACTTTGGGGAGCAAAGGGAGGAATTAAAGAGCTCTTTTGCACCCTGGCTGGTTTGGCTCAGTGATTAGAGCGTCAGCCCTCAGACCGAAGGGTCATGGGTTGTATTGCCAGTCAAGGGCACATACCTCAGTTGCAGATTCGCTCCCTGCCCCTCAGTGGGGGCACATGAAGGAGGCAACCAATTAGTGTGTCTCTCTGAAATCGGTATTTCTCTCTCTATCTCCATCCTCCTCCCTCCCCTTTCACTCTCTCAGAATCAATGGAAAAGAATATCCTCAGGTGAGGATTTGGGGTGGGGGTGGGGGTGGAGGAAGCTCTTTTGCGACTTGGTTAAAGAGTAAAATGAAGTTTGTTGAGTGCATGTTGTGGAGAATGATGTGGCCCAAGGCTCTTCTCTTTTAGTTTCTTCTTGAATCCTACCTTCCTTGGGCTGGGCTGGGATAGGCCAGATTGGACTTGCATCTCTCCTCTCTCCCTTTCTTCTTCTTCTTCATTGTAGGCAGTGTTTCTAGACAAGCTTTGTTCTTGCATTCTTACACTCACGGATGTTACTTCCTGTCAACTTCCAGCAGCAACTGGGGTCTTCTTTTCAGTGTGTGATGTGTCCCAAAATGGACTCTGCCCATTAGAAGCAAATACCAAAGAGCTAGGAGCCAGCTGACTGCAAACCTTTCCTCTTCTAGCCTTTGGTTGCAGTTCTTCTGCCCATAATCTGCTCCCTCTGGTTCCTTGGGCTACGTAGGCTTCCTGCCATCCTGCATTTTTATACATGAGAGGCATTCACGATATTTCCCCTTTCCTTCTCCCATAAAGTGTATCCAGTGTGGCAGTTACTGTAGTCTCCTCCCCCTTGCAAACAGCCACTGTAGAATTTTGGGCCTCTAGGATTCTCTGTCTGCCATGCTTGGGTGCAAGGCCAGACAGAAATGAAGAGGAGAATAAAGACAGGACATGCATGAGGAACAGGGAACATGCAATGTGAAAGTATACAGAGCAAGAGTTCTGTCCACCAGAGAGAATAATCCTAAATATATTTTTGTTTTTGTCACTTATATCATTCATTGGTTATGTTTGTAAAATAGGGATTGTTTTTATGCTCTGTATCAAGCTCTGGGTTTGTCCACAGGGAGTGTGTGAAAAGGGCATTGCGGTGAGTTATACTGTGGCCCTGAGCATAAGGAACAGAGGTGTGCACTTAGCCTGAGTTGGCCTGGGTTGCCCTTGTTCTCTGGCCCCTAGTTAGTGCTTTTCCCACTAACCACTCTTGTGACTCTGAGTTAGGGCTAAGTTGCTAATGACTTATACAGGGTGGGGCAAAAGTAAGTGTACAGTTGTTCATATGGAATAATACAATAATTAGTGAATAATACAAGAATAATCTCTATTTCGTGTAGTCACAAGTGTAAACCTATTTTTGCCTCACTCTCTACATGGAGTAAGCTGGTTTGGGGAAGGAAATCTATGGATCTAGTCATTTTTCTTGATGGTAAGCTTTTAGGGATGCCTAGATCAACCTACCTGGGGGCTTTTTTATGCCAATGAGTAGGAAGTGTGTGATACAAGATGGCAAGAGCCAAGAGACGATAGCTCATAGATGGAATCTACAAAGAGACATATTTCATTTATAGGAGTACTTTTCCTTTTATGAGATGAGTGTTTTCAAAGATGGGGGATGATAGGATGATACTTATCTGAGAAGAAATACACTGAGGGGTGTTGCGATGTAGACATATGGTTTAAACTTATTTAAAAAAATGATGTTATTCCTCCCCCAAGGATAGTGTTTCCATTGATTTTTTTTAGAGAGTGAGAGGAGGCAAGGGAGAGAAATCCATGTGAAAGAGACACATCATTTGGTTGCTTTGTATAATTGCGCTGATTAGGGGATTGAACCTGCAACTGAGGTACATGGCCTAGACAAGGAATCAAACCTGCAACACTCTGGTGTGTGAGTCAATGCTCTAACCACTGAGCAATGCTGGCCAAAACCTTATAAATTTTTTTCAACATTTTTTCCCCTAAGTTTCTGACCTCAGATTGCCAACTTCCATGATACTAATATGTAATGTGAGGCTAACAGTATATGCTAAATATCTATTTGCAAGCCCGACCAGTCTTTTTGTTTGTTTGTTTGTTTTTTATTAATCCTCACCAGAGGATATTTTTCCATTGATTTTTAGAGAGAGAGTGGAAGGGAGAGGTAGAGACAGAGAGAAATATCGATGTGAGAGAGACACATCGATTGGTTGCCTTCTGCATGAGCCCCAACCAGGGCCGGGGATCGAACCTGCAACGGAGATACATGGCCTTGACCAGAATTGAACCTGGGACCCTTCGGTTTGCAGGCCAACGCTCTATCTACGAGTCAAACCGGCTAGGGCAGACCAGTCTTTTTTTAAAAAAAAAAAATGTCTGTTTTCTCCTGGAAATCAAAAGAATCCATATCCACTGCAGGTTAGGATGGGTGGTGTAAGATTGGAAGAAGTGTAATAAGATAAATTCTGGTAGCAGTCAAATGTTTACATGTTAAAATACTCAGTTCCACCTTTCAATTCTACCTAGACAAACCCTTAATTAGGCCTTTCCTGGTTCCCAGCCTCTATAACTAGTTTTCTCTCCATTGTTCCTGCCATTTAACTTTGCCTTAGGGGCTCAGCATCATTTAACTCTAAAAAAAAATCTTAAATGTAGGAGGAGGAACCTAAAGAACTTTAGTTCAACACTCTGAAACTTAGCATCAACCTCTACCCTGACCTAAAGTCTTCGTTTTTGCAGTTAAGGTATTGTCTTGTCCCCTATACCCACTTCCTGCATTTTGTACCCATTGGGATAACTAAGACTTGCTTTATTGAAATATACCCAGCCCATCTACCCCTGGATGCTTTGTTACTCTCACGTTTAATTTAATTAAAGACTGAAATCCCTCAAACCTCTACATGCTAGATTTTATAGTGTCAACCACTTAGCTGTTTAGCACTCCAAATATCCTTTGCTCCTATATTTCCCATTCCAGTGTACGACATACCTATTAATGCATTCTTTCACCTCATGTTGGATCCACTCCCATCCAAAGGCCTACTCTTTGCTAGGTTTCATACTTTCTGGAAACCCTATGGTGCCTTGGTCTGGAGTTTCTTGTGTCAACTATAACCAAATCTGTGCCGTATTCCTATCTCAAGCTTGTGTCTTGTAGCAAATTGTAAATATATGATCAATATTGTTTTTCCAGTTTCTGATAGATTCATGTCACATTTGTATATTTTCAAGTCTATAGCTATTTGTACCACTAATACTTTTTGGCCACTACATGCTTATTAAATATATTTATCATAAATTCCAAAATAAAATTTTGGTTTTGACACTAAATTTGAATGTGACTAATTGTACAAATTGTGCAAACTGTGCTGTGCTAATTTACATATTTTTTCAAATAGCAATTTACTAATATTAAACTTTTTAATTATGTGGAAATTTTCAGAATTATAAATGCTAGTGCATATAAACTTTGTTAGAATACGATTGTCCCAGAAATGTTAAAACTAATGATCTTTTTACACATTCATTCATTCCTTTATTCAATAACTGACCTTTCTGATCCTCAGTTTACCCAGATCTCAAATGGTTGTAAAGATTAGTAACAGTGTATATAAGGTACTTTAAGAAACTAAAAATTAAAACACCCAAAACATTTGCTATTATAATTATCTATAGTTTAATCTGAAAATTGGCATATTATTCTGCCTTCAGACCTACTCCAGGACATGCTGTT